ATTTTTTAAGAAAAAATCAATAAATGGTTGATATAAGTTTTACTAGACTGATGATGACTTGCGAACATCACAGAGACCTATGTCCTCAAAAGAATTCTGAGTATGTGCATAAAACTAAAAGGATACATACAAAGAATCTCATCATTCCGTTTTATTCTTTTTTGGCAAATGTTGCAAATTGTAGAAAAATGAGGCATAAACGGAATATGAATTGGGTCAATAAAAATGATATACTATTAAGTATTAAGAATTAATCATTTTCTTATTTTTAATCTATAGGAGAAAAACCCACAAAATCAGTAGCTCGAGGGAGGAAAAGAGGGAAGAAGCACCTAAAAAAGTGAACACTAAAACCCAAAATATACAGGTGAAAAAAATAATCAAAACCCCACTCAAAACCCTATAAACATTCAATGGCTCCTTACTTTTATTTATCCTTTAGCAAAGAAAATGGACCAAATGTAGGTTAATATTTTATCAGTATGTATAATGTTGATCGTTGGAATCTCTCAATATTTAATCTTCACCATGAAATTTCAATGTCAATGTAAAATACCTTTTTAAAAGACCTGAATAATTTTACCCGCAAAAAGACGTACAGAATCTTTTATTTGGCTCCGTTGTTTTTCTTGCTAAAAATCTACTATTATTTAAAGGAACTTATTTAAAAACGGAATGAGTAGTTTTCGACAAAAAAAAAAAGCTTGAGAAGAAATCAAATTGAAATGTACGTAATTTGCAAATTGCAATATATAATGTTAGAACAGTATTTAAATGATTGAAGAGCAGATTAACCAACATTACAGCCAGATATATAAAACGTAAGTCACACAAAAAGCTCATACTTTTGATATGGTTTAACACCGAAGGCGTTGCAATCAAACCTTATGTACCAAACAGTGAAGGTGGTAGTAGCTACCCTAATTGAAAACTCTAAAGTTATATAAATTCATATACATTCAAATACTAAGGTATTTGCGCTCATGATTGTTAGTTTATTTTATCTATTATTTTCTTCTGTTTATATTCAACAATGAGAGATTTTATTCAGACATAGAATCAATTTCTTCAAAGACCAAAACAAAGAGAACCGATGGAGTAGCTTCTACACAGAGAAACAAACGTACTACAATTTTCAATTTATTTATCAAGTGTAAGAAATCATAGACCCACAAAATTAGATAGATCTCATGAAACATATGTTGTCCAATATGTCTTATTTTCTTGTTTTCTTCAAAAACATTTCTACAACAAACTCTTTTTCCCATTCATTTTTCAAATATCGACCTTTTTTTTCAATATTACTTAAATTTCGAGAGAAATAAGAAAATTTGGAATAAAAGGAAAAAAAATCAGACAAAACTACCAATCATCTTTCCTCCTCAGTAGGAAACATCCATCATTGTACCCAACAATCCCTTTCATCCTTAGAATCAAAAACCTCAGCTTCCTTCTTCTTCTTCTCCATCTATACATATACATTTACACTCATACATACACATACGACACGTATACATACATGCATACAAACACCTTCGAATCTCTATATAACCTTTTTATTCGCCCCTTTCTTTTTTTCCCTCTCCCCCATTTTCCTCACCTCTCTCTCTCTCTCTCTCTGTCTTAATATCTCTTCATTTTGATCACAGACCCACCAAAAAAAGAAACTTAAAAATCAGATCTTTGACAAAAAAATGGATCCGTCCTCTGCAAACTCAGTGAACGGATTCTACTCATTTCTAAACAGATCAATGGACGATCTCGAGAGAGTTTATCTCTCCAACAACTTCATGTCCGTACACTTTTTACAGAGAGCTCTCTGTCTTCTCCGTACCTCTCACTCACACCTCACTCTCCTCGTTCAAAAACTTCAACTTCCCGTCGGCGACAAATGGCTCGATGAGTACATGGACGAAACGAAAGCTCAAAGCTTGCCTCGTCATCAAATCCGCCGTTTCTTCTATCGAAAACTTCTCCTCCGCCGGAATTTCCATCGCCTCCACCCTCGACGGCCACCATAACCACCGTCGTCTCTCCCCTCAGCTTTCTCGTCAGGTGGGTGATCGGAAAAATCGAATCTTTTTTTTTTTATGGGATCAAAAATCAAAGCTTGAATACTCTGTTTATTGGTCTTAATGGTGTGGTTTAGGTGATAAGGGCGATATCAGTGTGTAGGAGGGATGCGATTGGTATAGAGGAAGAGAACAGAGCTTTAATGGAGAATCGAGTTCAAAGGTTTCCGTTTTGGTCGGAACAGACGGTGGCGAATGCGACGGCGATTGAGTCGTCGACGAAGCTACAGAACGGATTCTGTGGTTTCCGCGGCGTGCTGTACGCGACGAGGAACATGAGCTCGCTTCTACTTATGGTTTTGATTAACGGGCTCGTCTACTGTTTTCCCGGCGACGCAACGATGTCGCAGACGCAGACGCAGACGCAAACGCAGGTTGGAGTCGGCGGTTTCGCCGGCGCGATGGGGCGGTTGCAGCAGAGAGTGGCGGCTGAGGTGGGGAGGATGGGGGTGAGGAAAGGAATATTGATGCACGAGTACAGGAGGAGCAAAGCGGCGTTGGAGGAGCTCAAGGCGGAGCTTGAGCGGCGATTCTACGGCGGCGGCGGAGGTGACAGCGAGGTGGAGGAAGAGAGGGAGCTGAGAGAGAGAGTGGAGAATCTGAAAGGGTATTTTGGTAATTTGAGGAATGTGACAGAGAGTATAGTGGCGCAAATCGATGATTTCTTTGATGAAATTGTTGAAGGAAGAAAAAAGCTTTTGGATTTCTGCAGCCATAGATGAATATCTAAAAGCTGACATTTTTTTTCAGTTAAAAAAAAAAAAAATCGGTAGACTACTAGGCTTAGATGAATCAGTTGGTAGGGAATTGTTGTAACTTTTTTTTTAATTTTACTAAGGAAAGAAAATTTTAAAAAATTTAAAAATTTTAGTGTTACGTCGATCTGCTCTATTTTAGTATTTTGATGTTTATATATAAAGTTCTAGAAATGGAGTTATTCTCTGAATCATATCTAAAGTAAATGTCTGCTTTTCAGTTTTGGTTCCAGCCCGTTGAAGATGCTTGTTGTTTTGAATATATAGAAATAAAACATTAGATTAGTTGGGGAGATATACAAATATGCAAGACGATATTCATTCATTCATACATATATCATCTATTAGAAATTGGAAATGAATTAATCAATGGGACAACACTACAAAAGTGCAAAACATGATTAAACAGTGATTCAATCCGTAAGGTTGAGACGATTTTCTTAGATGGATTAATCAGTAGATAACTTCTTTTAGTGAATTCATACAACTTTTCTACGAATTAACCGGTAAACATTCGAAATATTATATTTGAGATGTTTAGACGATTTTAGATTAACTAATCAAGAACAAAAATTGGTAGTGGATATAGACTACATGTGCGATTTTTCATGAATTATTCGATAAATATTAAAAAAAAAATCTTATGATAGAACATCAGATCGAAACTAAAACTAATACAACTCGCGAATCGCAAGAGAAAGATTAATGAAAAATATTATTAGACTACCACAACTAACAAAAGGGGGAGTTCAAATGGAATACTTGTTGTCTCTTTGAGATAGCTGGAGAAGAAAAGTAGTGAACAAAGCCAATGATCAAAACTGGAAAATTGATTTGATTTGATTCATAGAGAGATATCCAATTTGAACTGTGGTCTTTGTGGTGTTAATCAATAATAATGATGAAAATGGATCCTTTGTAAAGCAGATTTGTCTTTTGATTCTTTGGCACTCTCATCTAAGTATATATGCTTTGGGCACACCATTTGGTGGCTTTTGTGTCAATAATTATGATTATTGCCAATTTCACACCCTAATTCCTTCCCCACCCACTGTTTTAAAGCACTCCATCGTTACTTCTTTAAGTTTCTAATACTTATTATAATTTTTGCTTTACACACAATTCACTCATCTTTGCTTTTCTCCTTTTTCTACCCGAAAAGAACATCTTTGACAAAATATTCAATTATTTTCTTGTTTTTGTCTTTGTATCTATGAGTAAATCTCAACCCTCAAGAATCACTTGGTGTATGTGTATCAATCAAGTATCACAAGTGCCAACTCCCATTAGTGTCAGCTCTCTCTTAGTTCTTAATTGTTCAATAGAAAAAAAAAGTTGAACCCACTAGACACAAATCATGTCTATAGAATTAATTTATCCGAATATTAAAAATGAGTCAAAACAATGATTTCTTCGAACTATCTGTCTATCACAATTACAATCATTCCAAAACCAAACTTCACTAAGTGCATACAACACGATAGAATTCACATGATGCTAACAAATCCAAACACTAGTCTGGAGTCTGGAGTCTAGAAAGCTTATTTACTATATATAAGAAAAACAATCTCTCCTCTCTAAGCTAGTTAGCTCAAGAACATCATCAAGATTGTGGGAAACAATGAAGAGAGAAACCTTGTGACTAAAATGCCTTTTTCTCTCTCTTTAATTTGTGTGTTTGCCTCTTTGGCCTTTATTATTTTTTTTCGTCAAAAAAAACTTTAAGGCTTTGCAATAAAAAAATTTCAATAAGATTTAAGTAAAATATGGAAGATAGGAAATAATAATATAGTATTATAGATGAGGAGAGAAGTCACTATCAAAACCAAAAAATGCAGAATCTAAAATGCTTTTAGAGACTCTCACCAGAATTCCATGCTTTGCCTCCCAAGTAGGACACCAACTTTCTCAGCTGATTTACCAAATAAACGTTACCATTTACCAAGTGCACAATGATAAAAACAAAAGACATTCATAACAAATTATGTAGTATTCTTTTTGTCACAGTGTCTGTTTTTTTTCTTCAGAGTAATGATTTTTTCTCGAAGGTAAAAAGCAATGATTGAGGTCAGAAGCAAGTTTTCGTCTGGTTACAGAAATTATTTGTGTTCCCCAACACATAAACATCCTGAAATTATATGATTCCAGCTAATTTTCCAGAATTTTTGTTTTGTTTTTGTTCATGTGAATCATGTTCTATTATTACCACTCGCAAAGAACGTAAAGGGATACACTAATACCCAACACAGTCACACCCCCAATGTCTATGTACACAAGCATTGAAGAATTACGATTTACGACCATAGCAACACAAGAAAGTTTCTTTCTTTTTTTTTTTTTTTTGTCCCCGAATGTTGATCTAAATTTAGCATATTATATTGTAAAATAGAGAAATCAGAAATGGGTGTGTGGGTTTAGATTACCATGGCAACAAAAAATGAGAGAGATTGAGCAGATCTCGTTCTTCAGGCTGACTTTAAATGTCAAACGCAGGCATAGCAAACTGGGAAGCAAAAGCCTCAACTTGGTTCCGAAGATCTGCAATGTCTTTACAGTGATAGATGCTTTTGAGCGGCTCCTTCTGCAACTTCCCATGCTCCTTTTGTGCAGCACTTGCTATCTGAGCAGCTCTATATAGAAAGTCAGCCATTGTCTCAAAATCCGATTCCAAACAACCTCTTGAGGTCATAGCCGGACTGCCTGAGACAGATACATCAGCCCATGTTAAAGAATCAAACAGCAAGAGAAAAAGACATGAGTTTCTAATTCTGATCCAGAAATCCAGAGTGTTGAGGTTTCCTTGAGAATTTGATTTGCTTACCTATTCTCACTCCTCCAGGGGAAATAACACCGTTATCGCTGAAAATGGCAACTTTGTTGACCGTGATATGGCACATCTCGCACACTTTTTCATACACCTTTCCTGAAATCAGAATGACCAAGATTTGAGTCAATTTTGGAGACACAGCTATATGCATTGTACAAAGTGAGTGAAAACATATAAGATTTGTTACGAACTCAAACAAGATTGATTAAAGACTCAAGACTAATCATTGACCATCAACAACCTAGAGAGCTGAGAAATACGAGATAGACTAAGAAACTCAGGCATGTCTCGAATACCTTGGTAAATTTTCGCCTATATACCCATAACCAATAGTTAAGCAGATATAACACCATGAAAAATCAGACACAGTTGCAATGCTGCCAATAGCTTGTATGAAGCATACACTTAAATCACATAGTGCCATTAATTTCCTTATCTGCTGAGAATAATCTGATCACATACCTGTCAAGCCGAAAGGAGTCAGATCCCAAAGAAGCAAATGATTATCGGTGCCACCCGTTACCAACTTGCAGTTTTTGCTTATCAAAGCAGATGCTAAAGCCTTAGCATTTTTCTTGACCTGTCGCATGTAAACCTTGTACTCAGGTGAAGCGGCCTGCTTCAGGGCAATTGCTAGCGCAGCTATATGGTTATTGTGAGGCCCCCCTTGCAGCGATGGGAAGACAGAAAAGTTTATTTTTTCTTCAAAATCATACTGGATATTGCTTTCACAGTGATTAAGATTGATACTTTGCTTCTTAGACTTCAAGCCTCTCCTGTAAAATATGATACCGCCCCTAGGTCCACGTAGAGACTTGTGTGTCGTTGAGGTAACAATATCGCAGTAATCGAATGGATTTGGACATTCCTACAACATTCACAGATACCAAAAAGTCAAGAGGATGCGAAGAAAAGCAGGCTAAATAAGTATCACTGAGAAAACACAAAGATCATGTGCTTAAGCCTCAAGTTTAATGAATGATGCCAAAGAGAAACAATACATAGCATAAAGTAGAAAACGAAAATGAACATACCTTGGCTGCCACAAGACCGCTAATTTGTGCCATGTCAAACATCAGAACAGCTCCACATTTGTCTGCAACATGCCTAAACCTAGGGAACTCCCAGTCTCTGGGATATGAACTCCCTCCACAAATAAGTATCTTTGGACGATAGTCAAGCGCCTTCTCCTCAAGCTTATCATAATCAATATAACCTGTACGAGGGTCGACCTTATATGGAAAGCTCTCGAAGAATATAGACGCACCAGAGACTTTCTTTCCACCTGGTGTGTAATACCCATGACTCATATGACCACCTGATGGAGAATCCAATCCCATAATTCGGTCACCAGGCATCAAAAGACCAGTGAAAACAGCAAAATTTGCGGAAGTACAAGAGTAAGGCTGCACATTAACTCCCCATTTCTCATGATGAAGTCCAAAAGCTGCAAGCGCACGTTCTTGGCAAAGAATCTCAATCTGATCAATATACTGATTCCCCGTGTAGTATCTCGCTCCAGGCATCCCTTCCGAGTACTTATTGGTCAAATGGCTTCCCAAAGCTTCCATTACTGCTCGGCACACGAAATTCTCAGAAGCAATGAGCTCTATTCCTCTAAATTGCCTCTGTTTCTCCTTTTCCATGAACTCGTGAATCTCAGGATCAGCTTCTTCAAGCGACTGGTCACCCCACGCTTTAACGGCGGCTCGTCTACCTTCTACCCCCGAATCAGCTGCAAATCTCTTACAAGGGCTTGGAGATGACATTGAATTGCTACCTCTAGACCGTTTTAGCTTCATCGGATGACCCAATAGGATGAACTGCTCCTCTTCCCTTTGATCATCACCATCATCATCATCATCGTTATGATTATCAACGTCATCGGGTTCCTCGAAGACCCGGCTACGCGATCCGGCGTCGTCGAATCTCTGCTCGAGCAGCTGAAGCGGAACAGGAGGCATCGGATTAGACGATGGACGGAAGCTGGAGTCAATCTGAAGCGTGATTGAGTCATCAGCAATCGGGATTCTCGGAGGAGGTAGCGGCAACGCGTGGGAGCTACCGAAACCCAACGAGAGATCCGATTGAGCACGGTCCATGATCAAAATCAAAAGAGCCAATCCCCCCAAAATTCAAAATTTGAGGACGAGAGAGAAGGAGAGAAGAAGGGTTTCTGGAGGATGCGGAATCGAATTCTCTTAGCTGAAAAAGCAGCAGAAACAACGACAACAAGAGCTACAGCTGTGACGAAGAAACCTTCCTTGATGATTATGTAAAGAAGAAGGTGAGGTTTCCATCCAAATTCCGAGAAACCCTAAAAAAAGATCAAAAACCCAGAGAAAAAAATCGAATTTTCGCTTCTCTCTTTAGGATGGGGACGGAAGCTAAGCTATGGATGGGGAAGAAGAGAATTGGGGAAAAGAAAAGAGAAAAAGACGAATAACGAAAATGGTAATTGGGAGGGCTACCGGCTGAATAGGTTAAGACGGCAACGTGAGTGATTCTATACGGTAGACGCCGCCTGCTGCTCGAACCGAGGGAAATAAGTCATACCGGGAGTAGCCGGTGACTTCTTTCAGTTACATTCTTTATTATTATTGATTTTAGTCGGAAATTAGCAAATCACGCACAAACGCTATATTCCAGTTGTAACCAATTAAAAAAGAAAAAAAAACTATCGTATACCTATATATTGTATACGTTATATACACCGTTCTAATGTAACGCTGAACATATATATGATTTTTTTTATACCATATAGATAGACTATTATATTTGGACCGTATCTTTCTGAAAACTAAACACAAATCACAGCAACTTATTAAAAGATATCTGAAACGACATACTTGTAGATGACATCAGTGGCTACGTTGATATTGGGGACGTGGACGACAAGTCACATGCCAAAATCATTTAAAGAAGAAAACTAAGACGGTGAAACGAAGCTCGAACTTGTGCGATACGTTAAGAGTGTCATATTGCATCTGCATGGCTTTAACCAAAAACTAAGTCGGAGACTCGGAGTAATTCTCAACTATATATATCTCACGTACAAGAAAAACTCTTAATCGTTTCATTTGTTCGTGCATTAAGCGAAAGGTATTCATCGAACATTTTTTTTTATGAAAGGGGATTTTTTAGAATTAATGTTGGTCATTACAAAAGAACACAAGAAACATAGAAGTAAAAGAGAAATGAAGTTTTGATTTAATCTACCAAAAACTTACGGAAACTAAAAGCTGAAAGATAGAGATGAATGACAAACAAAAAAGTAGCTTATATTTGAAATCTTTGATCACCACGGCACGGCTTTGAAGACCATGATTTTGTGATCATTGCTATTTTTGCATTTCTTAAGAACACTTTGGTTGGCTTACTTAGTCGATATTTTTGATAAGATGCAAAATTAATCATTACTTTTAATTAAAGATCCCATTTTTTATCAAGCTCATCAAAATGATTTTTATAACGAGATGCTCAAACACTTGAAGGAGTATGTATATACTACATTACTACACACCAATATAGCTCATTGCAACTTGAAATCCGTCAACAAATATGTCTAAAATATGAGATATATTCGGGATGACACTGCGATGACTATGTGAGAAAGATTTAAAACTCCACATTCCATCGCACATGTACCATGACTATCGTATGACTACCTTTTGACATAATCTTTGCCATAGTGTGGCGGCAACCGACTTTGCAAAGGAAAAAAATATTATTTCCGCGATCCATCTCAAATTAGATGGATTTGTGACAAAATTTAAAACTATTTCCTTATGAATTCTGTGGTAGATTCATTTATTTTATATTTTAATACATCAAATTTTAGTCAAAAGAACCATTTTCTATGAATTTAGACGTTTTTTTGCGTGTTTTAAAACTAATGAAAAGGACATATAATTAAAAAAAAAAAGGACATATAATTAATGTGTTTATGTATCAACGCAAAAGCCATTTAAAGAAGGAGATTTGAAAAAATAATATCTGATCGGTTATTACACTATTAGTAAAGTTAAATAAGTATCTGTAATATTTTTACTATAGACGCCAACGTACATACTGAATGTAACAATTTGAGAACCATTCGTGATTTTTATACTATTTTAGAGATAGCTTTTAAACTTTTAGATGAAATTATGTGTTAATCAACTGAAAAAGGAATTCAAATTTGAACAAAAATATTCATCTTATTAATTGAATTTTGTATTGCAAAACAAAAAATTTATAGACATTGTTTATTCATAAAAATATAATTCAACAAACTATTTAAGGTAATTGACTTATTTTACTTTCTTTGTTGGTCAAAATATCATTTCTTTAAACAGCTAATTAATTCATAACTGGAAGTGTAAATCACCTGACATATTAGATTCTTTGAATTAAATAGTCAAAGTTGCAATAAATAAGGATTGTTACTTAATTTTAATGGCTGTATTAACTTGCATTTCCGTTAAAATTATACGACTTGAAAAAATTCTTCTCTCTTTACTCATCTTTCTCTCTGTCTCAGAGTCTCTCTTACCATGAAACCCAAAGTCTCCAAGAGACTAACACTAACATGGGTTCCTCTTCTCTGCATCTCCTGCTTTTTCCTCGGAGCAATTTTTACCTCCAGGTTTTTGATTTTTTCTTATGAGTTTATTTTTCTTCTTCATTAATCTTTACGGTTATAAAATCGTTTCATGCATTTTTCAGATTTCGAGGGCCATCGTCGGATTCCGGTGGCCAACTCTTTTTACAGCACCGGCGTGATCAGGAACTTAAGATAGCTTCCAAAGATTATGCTCATGAGAAAGTATTATTTTCAAAAAAGTTATCTCATTGACTGAATCTGAATTTAACACTATCATCATAGGAATTGTTTCATATGTCATCTGGATATTGAAAACTGACTCCTTTTTTATATATAAATATTTGGATCTCGCCAAAATACAGAAAAAATCACAAGAAAAAGATGTAATGGAAGAGGTTTTGAAAACCCATAAAGCAATAGAGTGAGTGTAACAATAAAAATAAGATAATAGTGTATTTTTTTGTAAATCTTATAAGTCTTGCTTGGTGAAGTAATAATATTTTTCTTATCATACTCTTGTGATCATAGGTCGTTGGATAAGTCAGTTTCAATGCTTCAGAGACAGCTCTCGCGTACACAGAGCTCTCAAAAGATTGTTGATGTCTCAACAACCAATTCTTCAACAAAAGGAAACCAACGGAAGAAAGTTTTCATGGTGATTGGTATCAATACTGCATTCAGCAGTAGAAAACGGCGTGATTCGCTTAGAGAGACTTGGATGCCTCAGGGTTATTTTGTGATGTCCCTCCTTCAAATCTATTTTTTTCTTTCATGCTTCATTGTCTCTAATCTTTGTTACTTTTTTTTTTATCACAGGACAAAAGCTTGAGAAATTGGAAAAAGAGAAAGGAATTGTCGTCAAATTCATGATTGGTCACAGGTGAAATCCATAGGATAATTAATGGAATTCAATGTAGCCTAATGGTATTTTTTTAGTAGATTGTTGAGACACTTATATACTTGAGTGCGTATACAAAATGTGTTGGCATGCAGTTCGACACCAAATAGTATACTGGATAAGGAAATTGATTCAGAAGATGCTCAATACAAAGATTTCTTTAGGCTGGTGAGATTAATTAGACAAATTCATTTTTCTAGGATTAGTTTACAGTTTTCTTGATAATTTTTTTTCCGGGGACTCTATACTCGTTTGCAGGACCATGTCGAAGGATATTACAAACTGTCCGCAAAGACCAAAATCTTCTTTTCCAGTGCAGTTGCAAAGTGGGATGCTGAGTTTTACGTAAAGATTGATGATGATGTTCATGTCAATCTTGGTACGTACCCAAACTGTGTTTCTAGCAATTTTTATATTTGTTTCTTTCTCTTCTCCTTGGATTCAATTGTTGAATATTTTTTGCCTTTTTTAGGTATGCTTGCTTCCACATTAGCTAGTCATCGTCATAAGCCGAGGGTCTACATTGGATGTATGAAATCCGGACCTGTTCTCACTAAAAAGTAATATTCCCAATCTGTGTTGTTATCTGATTTTTCTTTTCAAAATTTTTATATTCCATCTATTTGGATTTATAATGCATTTTTTTTTTCTCAAAACGTGCAGAACGGCCAAGTATCGTGAACCCGAGTTTTGGAAATTTGGAGAGGAAGGTAACAAATATTTTCGACATGCTACAGGACAGATTTATGCCATCTCAAAGGATCTTGCTAAATACATATCTACTAATCAGTAAGTAACCGGCTATGTGTTATTGGATTCTCTATAATGTACAATATGTTTTTACCAAGGAAAATATCATTTTCCAATTAAGCATAACAACACTTTTATGGTTTGCCTTTTGCAGGCCAATTTTGCACAAGTATGCAAATGAAGATGTGACACTCGGGTCATGGTTCATCGGTCTTGAGGTTGAGCAAATCGATGACCGTAATTTCTGTTGTGGTACTCCTCCAGGTAAAAGCTATATATATATCTTAGTATGCCTAAGAAGTTAGTAAATACCTAAAACACAATTTGAGATTTTTTTCTCATGTTGTTGTACTCTCTCTTTTCCAAAGACTGTGAAATGAAGGCAGAGGCTGGAGAAGTATGTGTAGCGTCATTTGATTGGAAGTGCAGTGGGATATGCAAATCAGTCGATAGAATGTGGATGGTTCATGCGATGTGTGGTGAAGGTAACAAAGCTGTGTGGGATGCGAATTTATAATTCTCTTAGAATAGAGAAAGAGATAAGAGGGGAGATATGAACATTTTGTTTTGTAAAGAGCCAAAAGGTATACAAATTCGCTTACCGGAGACGAAGCTGAGGAACACCTTTTAGTTCACAGTTTTCTTTTTTTCTTTGTGGAAAAAAACGAAAAAGGAAAAGAAATAATGAGACTTTTATATTATAGATGCAGGCGTGAGAAAATTGCTTACTATATAAACAGAAACCATATGATCTTGAATGTGACTAACGTAGTTTGAAATCCATTTAAGAATTCGGAAGGAAGGAATGAAACAAAAACTGAAATTAATTAAATGATATACAATCAAATAGTTTTCATAATAAGAAAATGTATTATAAACATCAAAAAATTATATTTCCGAACTAATTGATGATACGCTTCGGTATCGCTAGAAGGGTTGAGATTATTTCTTTCTCCACTCAGTGATGTAGCCTTCCTAGCTAGCTAATAGCAAAAGAAGTCCTAATTATTTTAAACTAAACTTTTTATGCTAAAAATGTGATAGCCATTTTCACATCCATTAAGAACACAACCGTACTCTTAAATTTTTTTCTCGAATAAAGGCAGTCTAGTCCTGTCTAGCTAACTTTGTACTCTCCGATCTCAACATCCAAAACAGGCTTCAATGTCCACTCTTTTCCGGCAATATCACACACCTTCAGTGTAGGCGTAGAAGGGCACATGTTCACAATCATAGCATGCATGGACATTTCCTTTATGTTTGATGGCTTGATCAATTCGGACAGTCTATAAAACATGTGAGAGAGGTCAACATGAGGAGCGGTTTCATGTCTGCTGGAAACATTGTCAGAAAAGGACAGAAAAACTTCAACCTGTGAGAAGAGTTCGTCACTGCTTTCTCTCCGAATATGACTTGGGTTGTATCACAGTGGAAGGAAGGGAGATAGTGAGAAAATTGGAGTTTGTTAATAATGCTTTAGATACATGCAATAATGTTTTCTCTCTCACGAATGCAGCCCACTTTCTCTTTTAGAATGTAGTCTCTGCTGTCAACATTGCAAAGTGGCTTGAATGATTAAATACTTTGCATATTGAAAAACATGTAAGAAAATAGAATTACATTACATACTAATTGTAGTTTTCGAATAGTTTTCAATATGATGTTTATGATCATTCCATGAAGCGAGCGCTCCTCAAGATGGAAAGGTACAATTGAACCTTCGCAAACATATACGTTCACTTATGCATATGGCTATATTAGAGCCATGCCTGAGATTTCTCATGCTACAAGCAAAGAAAAAAATTTAGTCTTTTTATATTTTCTATAAAAAATATTTTTTTATATATAAAAATTAGCTCCTTTAAAAAATATTAGTTTTAAATTCATTTGAATAATTAATTATTCTTTAAAGATGAAGACTCATATTTATAGGTATTTTCTCCTTCTAAAGTTTCTCATTTTCTCTATGTGAGACAACTTAAAGACTGACTTTAAAAAATATGAAAAAAATATCTAATTTGCACATCTAAAAGGAATTGAACTCACATCTGCTCACGCAATATAAATCCATAAAATCACTGAACTAACTAATTTTTTTCACAAAATTGGCCTAAAAATATTTTATAAAATTGTCGACTCTGAAACACATGCTTCATGTGATTGTGCACAGACACGGCTCTGGCTGATATGCATGGTTTTTGCATTAGTTCTTCATTGTTTTTCTCTTTCCTCTGTGCATCTTTTTAATTCATATTCATGTGTTTTAGTTTAGGTTTATCTTGGGTTAGGTAGAGTAGGTTTATCAATGATGTAAATGTTTGTATTTTTACATGACCAAATTAATAGAGTGCACTAATTACTAGGTTTGACTTAGCTAATCAAAATCTAGATCTTGAGAAATTTTATGCATTGAAAATGTATGATATAATGTCTAGCTCAACTCTAAGTCATGCATTTCATTCTTAGTCAATTATAATTGTTATGTAAGATGGATTGCAGGTTTAATAGTCATGTTCTCAAAGATCATTAGTCATTTAATTAGTTTTGAAAAACTGATTAATAAGTGTTTTTGTGAATAGATTAGTACCATAAACATGGATTAGTCTATTTTAAGTTGCATATGCCTTTGAATTTAGTTTGATTGAGCATGTTAGCCTCTTTGTCTATTTTCACTTTATTATCTTGTTTACATTTCAGTTCTCATTAAATTTTTGCATTTTCATCTCATTTTAAGTTTGAACATGACTATGATTAGCCTAGATTAGATAGTTTCTTGCATTTTTAGTATCTTTAGTCTCTCCATGTGGTCTGATCCTACTAACATAACTGAATAATTGATGCCAAAAAAACCAAAGTATATATGTCGGTCCTAACATAAGTATATAATAGATCCATGTGCACGTGTTATAGGTATGGATGGTTATCATGCTGTGATCATAATCAAAATATTTAGCATAGTGGACGCCTAGTAGCTATGTGGAAGATAAGTAACATTTATAATACAATTATTAACTAATAGTGTCATGAGTCACGAGGTTTTCTTGAGGAAGTGTAGGACAACATCATTAGTATTAGGATGATGCGTTTACAAACAATTCTTTCGTATATAGCGAGTCTTTTTTGGTATAAAATTTTCTATAAATTAAACTTCTTTTTTAATGAGTTAATGCTTGTACCAAACAAGAAGTATAAAAATACAAGAATAATCAGAAAAGGAAAAACTAAAGAGGGGATGTCCCCGTCATGGTGGAACATTATGTTGGGGGTGCTAAATAAATAATGGTATATGCCCATTTTTAATGGGCACATTTGGTGGCTTTTTCAACTTCAGACAAGTTTAGTCCCAAAGTTGAGACCAATCCTAATTTCCCATTCTTCTTGTCTTCATTTGGGCCTTCAATGTCAAAATCTCCCACCCCATGTGTCTGAACCCATGAAAACTACGTCTATCTTTTTTTTTTTTAAATCAGATTTTTCCAAAATTGAAACCCACCCTATCGTATATTATGTTTGTAATACTCGATTCTTATATCGCAGTGTAAGGAAATCCACATCTCAACAGTGTTTTAAACTATCACAACCAATCAGATAACAAATTTCAAAGGTAAAGAGCAGGTAAATTATAATCGTCTGATTCATTATTTCACTGTATCAATTTTTTGTAATTGGAATAATTGATGCCAAAAAAACATAACTCTACTATTATGTCGTAAGTGTTTAAAGTTACGACTAATATATTTATATTACTATCAAACTATATATATTTCTAGAAATTTGAAAAGAAGAAATCCTTATAGAACAACAAAATTATTCACCGAGAAACTTGGATAATGCGTGTTATGAATCATGGCCTATGATTGACTTATAACACTGATACCTTTTCCAATATATTAATAATATTTTTATTTCTTTAAGTTAGCAAGTTAGGCCCGATGTCGAGAGGAGGATGTGTCATGTGTCTTCATTTATTAAATCTAGCTGTGTAATTTAACAAACAATTAGCCATACTGAAATAGCTTCATAGACAGGGTATATAGTTTTAATGTATTATATGGCAACGATATATAGAGGAAAAGGATAGCTTAGTTTGGTCTCTATCATCCATTACATTTTAAATTTGATATATACGTCCACTAAATATTACTATTGATACACTACCACACTATATTGTTAATTTTATATATGCGTCCACCGATGGATAGTTTGAGAAAAAAAATGAAAGGACGTGACTAGTGACCATTACCTTTTGTTTGGTTTTCTACATATATATTAAGGTTTTACTCGGACTACATATTCCTTCTAACGTTTATCTATTAAGTATCACGAGAAAGTGTACATTTTTAATGGAATCCAAAGTTGCGAAGGCGTGATGAGGAAAAATAACCTTGGATTTGGCTTCTTATTTGCATTTCCTAGTGATTTGCATTCGCATACAAACGTAACAAACCGATCAATAATGCCATCTTATTTTGATATGCTATTGAGTTCGTGCTTGGGGAAAGTGAGGCATACCTGACTGTGTATGAATATGCATATATATGTAACTATGTATGTATGCATTTATGCATGTTTCTTGTATCTATTTAGAGTTTTTTTTGGGATAAATGTAACTATGCATATATATGTAACTAGGCATATATATACATATAAACATCTATTATATTAAAACAGAAGCACATTTAGTACTTGATTCCTAACACTCCTAATTTTTTTTTAAGTATTTAATTTCGAAAATTAATTATTAATTTAAATATTTTTAGAGTTCCTTAAATATAGGTAATTTAGATTTGATTTGATTTGATTAAAAATAATAAATCAGATATTAATTTAGATTTGATTTAAAGATTCTAATTTAAATAATTTCTATACTATTAAATATTTTTATCAAAAATATCTAGAATTTAAAAAAAAAAAGTTTACATATAAAAACTAATGATCATATTTGAAATATAAAATATTTATAATGATGTAAATGATATGATATTTATGTTGATTATATAATATATTTACGATTATGATTTATTTACAAATTAATAATAAAATAATAGGTAAAAGTCAAAAAATTATATTTTTTAAAAATTCATAGAACTAAAAATATATATAAAAAATCGGGTTAAAAATATTTTGGCAACTAAAATCACTAATTTTGAATTATACATGTATATCAAACATATATTTTTCATACAAAATCAAAACATAAAAAATTAAAAATAATTGTATACACTATAATATGGTTTGAAAAACCAGTTGTACACTTCCTTCGTTGATTAAATTTTAGAAAACTATAATGCTAAATAATACTGTTAATACATCTCAAACTTTTAATAAATATTTATATTATACGGTAATATGAACAGAAAAGTTAGAATTATGTTTTTATAATAGTTCATTTTGAATTAATATTAGTGGACGGGTTAAAATTATATTTTTATAATCATAATTAATTTTAATACTATAAAAATATATCTAAACATAAAAATCAATATTTTCACTTATTAAAAATATATTTATAAAAATAATTATATCTAAATTCAAAAACACAAATTATATTACAAAATTCGTTAAATAATAAAAATATTCCCGTGCGGATGTACAGGATTAGAATCTAGTGTATATGGATAAAATACAAGGCAGAAAAGAAAACATAGTTTAAGAGAATACAAAAGGAGATGGTGGGACAATCTTATAATGTATCCTTCTTGGTAATGTTATTGACCAAAGCAGTAAAGTGGAATAAACATATGCTTATAACTTTTTAAAGAAAAATAGTAATCTTTGTGACATTTAAATTTAAAAGAAAGGAATATTAGGCATGCAACGATTTGACAGACACCTAGCTGCTACTCAGCCTACTCTCAACCCTCTGTCACTTTCATATTCTTCTAACCTTTTAAATCCATATGAAACTAGTGAAGAATAACATCAAGCTTATTTCTTGATAATAAAATCAAACCTTTAAATTGTTATTCATTATAATAAAATCAAACCTTTAATTTGTTATTAAAAAAAATTAAGCTCCTTTATTTGTATTGCCTAAATATAAAATCACATAAGTTTAATATGTTCTCTTCTGCTGGCCGCTATTTTCTCGAAACGAAATTATTGTTCATTTAGTATACTCAATTTCAATCTGAATAAGATCATTTACTAATTATCAAGTGTTCTGCAAAGCTCGAATGTTTCTTAAGAAAATATTAATCTTACCTCCATTTACAGCCTATGAGTCTTTTATTTTTGGTTCAAACTTATGAGTCTTTTAAAGAAGGAAAAATGAAAGTTGGTGCCAATGTTAAGAACAAAACTTTGACCAAGATTAAAATACGTATGATTTTTCAGGGCGTTCTTAAACAAAGACTGTTACTTTGAGAATTAGGACACCAGGATCTGAGAGAATGGGATGATGATCATGTGTTCATGACATGTTAGTTGGGCTAAAACCAATTTGTTGAAACTTTAAATTATTTTATTATTAAATATTTTGTAACATTGACTTTTGTCTCTCTCTCTCTCCACCCTATTTGTAGGATTTCATCTTTTTTACTTATTTCAAATTACAAATTGGTGTAATATATAGGCATTGTAGTTCTTAGACAATATGTCAGCTTTTAACATCTAGTGGATCTGTGAATAGGATATCATGTGACTCATGTCTAAGTCATTTTTTACATTAAATCTTTCCTAATGTACATTAGCATTTTTTTTTACAACAAAATTTGTTAATATTTAGTTAATTACTAATGAAAGCAATTATATGGATGGACTATGGAGCGTATTAAACTTCAACACAATAATTGTTTGACTGTTTACTTCATAAAGAGTTTTACGAGCAAAGTTATAAAAACTCTTTTAATGTAAAATATATTTTTCAACATAACTAAAATACATTATTATGTAGAGTCCGACAAAGTAACTTTGAACAATTAGAGAATTATCGACAATGCAATGTGGATTGTTGATTAGATTGGAAATAAATCTAAAAGTGTAATGAAAGAAATCTATGGGAAACAGACAAATATCAGTCTTCTCATACTTTAATTTTTGGCAAAAATCTGACTTTAATTTGAATAACAGTCGTATATACTTTGAGAAGCTATCACATACATTATCCACAACTGATCCGAAGCTTAGAAACTAGGTATCAAAATTGTCACTGTGAAAATGAGACTTGAGAGATTTAAGAGAACACATTTTTGAAAAGATTTCGTAAAGAAGTTAAAGAATGCAAGGAAAAGACATGTGGTGTTCTCGTTTTAGCTTTCTCTACTTTTCATGAAACCAACCCCAATTCAACTCTTCCTTCTTTGACCATACGAGTTTACTATTAAACTATTTAGTGCATAGATCAATTGATTGTTAAATCAAAACAGTATTTCTACCTATGAGTAAAAAAACATACTGTATGTGGTAAAGTTGTATTGAACAAAATTATTCACAAAAATGGACCCCTTTAACTTTAGATGGTTAAAGAGGGGTCCCCATGAGAATATGAGACTGAGAGAATGAAATAATGGGATTAACTTTTTTCTTTTCTGTTAAACATTCTTTAATTTGTGACTTATCCCTTATTCCACATTTTTCATATACCAAAACCAATTTCATTAACTTTTTCCATTGTAATTTCTTTCCTACCTATGTACTAAACCTTCACAATCTATATTCACATATATATAATAGAGTATATCGCTCACCACAAAAATAGATAAAACTTCCACCCCAACCCAAAACTTTGGTTGATCATCTCAAAAATATGTAATTAAAAATCCAAATCGCCTTCTCCTTCTCTTTTGAGATTACCTTTTTACCCTTCCCGGCGCAGCCTTCTTCACATTTCCGTGGAACCACAAAAGCCGAGACTGTTAGTTAAAATCCTTGAGCCTTCTTATATCATCATCATCATCTTTTAGCCGTCTTCGATGAAGATCCTACTGATGAAATCTCTGAACCTCTTGGAATAGAGTTTAGGATCAACGGCTGATATTGAAGCAGGATCGGCTTGTAACGACTTATACGCATGCTCGATCTTCTTGGTTATGTCGTAGTCTTGCAAGATGTCTATGACTCCAAAGTACAGAACCACTTCGTACATCTCACCGTGAGATGGATGAGTCGCTCCTCCTGATGTATACTGATCAAAATCGCTTCTTCGAGCCATTCTTTCCGCTCTTGCTGGCATGTTTGCGCCTAATCTTATCGATGGTTTCCTGTAAAAAAAAGAAACACATTGAATGTTGAGCGAAATTGATTGGTTCTTTTAAGAATTAGGAGCAAACAGGACCACATGATCTGTTTCACACCTCACTATATTGCCAACCAAGTTATATATCATTCCTACATTCATTGATACTAATCCGGAACTGAATCTCACAACCACTACATTTCTCTTCAATCATCAAAGGCTATATAAATGCAAAAAGCTTCTCCTGTGAAGTCGACTTCTTAACATTAAAAATGAAACCCGGATAAATGATTGATAAAAAATATAAATGTTTATGTTTACCTGCCAGCTAAAATCCGGTCCATGTCTTGAAGTTCAGCCTCTAGGAAGCGACAACCACGCATGAACTTCTCATTCTGATATGAATCTATCCTACCTGCACGAGATATTGACATGAACCTCACAGACAGGTCGACTTCAATGAGGGGACACAGATAGAGAATGGTGTCTTAAATTTACCAGATCTCAAAACGAATGGAGAAAGTCCCATCTTTTCTCCTGTGTTGTCGTCACGGAAGTGAACGCCAACTAAAAGGCTATAATCCATTATTCTCTCCGCTTCCAAGAACTCACAGTCGCGTTTAATTTGCCTGAACCATGAATACCGATCAGCGTTAGACACATGCTTAGACTGGTGAATACTTTGAGTAGCTGAGTGGTACAAGCAAGAAAAAAATAAAACTTAGTAAGCATGGAGCTTACTTCATGAGCTCTTGATACCAATTTCTCTGAAGACGGAAAGCAAAATTGAGATCAAGGTCCTTGAGTGTAGTGGTCTCATCAATTTCTCCTTCAGGCTTTGCAGTACTCCGCCCATGGGAAGACCCTTTGAGGTCAAACCGTCTCTGGATTCTATACTCGGAGCAGAACAAGTTTCCCATGACGATAAACCGAATCTGATAAAATGGTAAACATAATAAATGGTAAATTTTCTGGAGACTAAAAGACCATAAAAAGATTAAGGTGAAATGAAACAACACATACCTTCTGGCCACCAACGGGTTTCACACAATGAACACCGTAGAATCTAGTGACGAGGGAGTTTTCGTATTGGCAGACATGTTTGTAGTAACTTGGAAGCATTCTTAGAAGAACCTGTACAAAAGAAGACAAAAGCTTAAGGTCAAATCAAATTAGCTAATCACAGACTTAGTGGGGTTTATGATTAAGAAAGTAAATGTGAAAGCATAGAAACAAACAAAAAGTGTCTCAACCACTAATTAAGTAAATTAACTCATTTCGGACAAGCATGACAAGAGAAAGGTCAAGAACAAGACGGCAACAACCACTGAACTAACCTTGACTTCCGATTTCTTGACCGTCTTGATCATAAACCTATCATCTTGAGTTAGGTAAAAGAAGCTTCCACTCTTTCCAGGTGAAGATAATTCCCTAAGAGCATCGTTTCCACATATGGCCAGCATGTACTCAGCTGGATCCACTTGGAAAAGATCCCTGAGACGTCTACAAACAAAATTGCCCAAAAAGAAACACAACTCAGCACAAAAATCTTATCAACTAAACCCAGGTTTGGGTAATAGACACATCACCACACCTAAACACAACTCAGCAATTTGCTAAAAATTTAAACACTTTAAGAGAAAGAGAAAGATACCTGAACACCAAAGGGCAATAATCCTTCCACCGGAAATCAACTGACTGATGCGGCGGTGTAGTCTTAGTACCTTCCGGCGGAAACCTTGTCCAAAACTTCTCCTTTGGATCGAAATCCATCTGTTTAAGGTCTCGAACAATCGAAGCATGTTTGCCAACAGAATACCTATATTTCCAATCACAACCTTTCGTTAGAACACAATGATCAATCAAGCTAACTAAAACCAAAT